TTGTTTATATCTAATTTGGCAACAAATAAAATTGTGTCATATGTTATCTATGTTAGTAAGTATTTCATTGGTTGAAAGTTGTTAATGTAAATCTCTTCGAATAAAATTCAGTGGTTATTTCCACAACATCAATAAAACCGTTTGTTTGTTGCAAATTTCCAATAACATAATCCATAGCACCAACAAATTAATTGATTTGTTGCATATTTCACATTGTCATTAGTTTTTTAAGATGCTGCCACAAATTTTTAAACATACTGCCAAGGGATGTTTACTACTATAAATATGCAAAGATGAAATGAAGTGCGACAGACGTGCCTCTCATACAACAAACTCAACACAATTTCTTTTTATGCTTACATTCATCTTACTTTCAAATTCTTTAGTTTAGTTTTAACTCTACATTTCAGCCTAAATTAGTCTTCAACTTTAGTTTAATGTCTTTTTCTTTAAAAATCCCAGAAACTAGTTGCAGTTCTTTGATGAAGCAATTCAGTTCCCTTTTTGTTGGTTTTATAATGGTAATTTTTGCTGCCTTCAATGATATTTCTTTGTAATCGAATTGCTTTCTTTTCTTTATTGTTTTCTTTGTTTTTTTTTAATTTAAGTAAGTGATGTCAATATTTAATTTCATATTTTGTTCAATTTTTGTTAATTTACATTCCATGCTGCTAGTAAATTTTTCACATTTCCAACTTCATTTACTTTAATTTAAGTTATTTTTTTGCGTTGAGATTTTCTTTTTGGAGCTTAATTTCAACTCATTTGCATATTTAAGATTCATTTAGATTTTTTGTAGTTTGGCAATCATTTACGTTTCTTATAATCTTAGCTTTTCTTGATTACATTAATTTGGAATAGTTCTCGGAGTCATATCCAAAATATTTTGTCATATAACCTATTTAGTGCAAGAAGTTCATTTCTCATTTTTTTCCAATCATCTGATCATTAAAGTCCAATCTACAACATTCTTCCATCAACTCACAACTAAGTTCTATGCTTGGAAAGAAAAAAAGGGTCGTTCGATAAATCTTTCTTGTCTTGAGCAAAATAAGTGGCACATTTTTTCATCTGTCACATGTTAAGGAAATTTCTTGTATAACAATCCCATTTATCATTATTATTCTTAAAGGATTTATTCACTCATCATCAA